GAGCGTCATAGAAACCACAAAACGAAGGATCTATTGCAATCTGACTCTCGGTCCACCAGTCGGCCACGCCACACAATTATAGACACTGGACTAAAAACGCGGCCCGAGTTATCCCGTCAGCTGGCACCCTTCCAAATCACGGCGCTTAGGGCAACGTGAGAGCTTCAAGCCCGCGTCAGCTTGGGAAATGTGCAATGGGGGTATCGACCTCACCCTCTATTTCCAAGATGACAGCCCCATTTTGATCATCCTCTGTAATTGCAAATGCATTTCCGAATTTTGGTTTAAATTTCATGGGATCGGTCATTGACAGTCCTGGAGCCTTTTGGCTGTCCTAGAATATTATTGTCTAAGCGCCCAAGGACGCCTCAGTGCGCTCACAGACCGAATTAGTTCAAAGCCTTGCAAGAGAGCAATGTCGGCACAAAGACCTTGGAGAAAAAACCCTTGCCTTACGTTATGAACCGTGTGAAAAGTATGGGCCGCGCTTGAGGCGGCTGCTGTCTTGTCACCTGCCGAGGGCTCGTCGGCCCGAATGTGTCTGAGATGTGACAACCGTCTTAGTCATATAGGGCGCCGTTAAAGTTTGTGTGTAGAAGTGTTACTGAGTGAAATAAGGCCAGGTTGAACTGAGTTAGAACTGCCTGTTCTCAATCTCTCCCCAGAATGCTGCTGGTTATGCTGAGCTAACAAGGACCCAACACTGATCAAGCTGTGAATCCTTAAAAACTGCGGTATATGCCACACGCCAAATCGCGTCAACTGCCCACACACATTCCCTCGCCGCATGGGCTTTTTAGGCCACATACGCCGTCATGGCAACCTGCGGTAAAACACCGTTCAGCTACACCACACAACCGATCTCCTTCCCATCAGCTCCTAAACTGAAACCAAAGTACTTTATATCCACGATTATTTCCCTGACGTGCGAACTTTTTGAACTTCCCGAAAAACACCTGCAAGCGTGCTTATATTGAATTTTTGAAGTATTACAGCTATCAGATCATAGTTGTTATAGCCCAGTTATTTCGGCCTCGCCAGTTGCTATAGCCCAGTATTTCG